GATATTGCCATTAGTAACTGTAACATTAATTTTATAAGTTACTTTATCCAGCAGCATCATTTAGAAATTGACTGTGAAATCAAACATAATGCTAACTTAAACAAATTACAATTCCTTGTCTGGTAATTGTATTTTTCTAGTCTCTTCACTTGTCATTAACCAGGCATACCTATCGCATCTTATAATCAGATTTTAAGCTTTTCAGGGTAGCATCAGGTATTTTCAACAAATCAGTAGAATGCAGTCCGATCCAATGGTCAGTTACTGGCCTCTGAGGAAATAATCAAGTAATACTAAAGAATTTTAAATTCTTCTCAGTGTTCTAAAAGTGTATCTTGACTGTTAGGAATTGTAAAATGGTCTACATGTATAACAGGAGAACTGTCAGCAATTTAGGGTGAAAAGACTTTTTTGTTATTATTTTAATAATGTCTTAGTGACAGGAATGAAATCCTTTCTCACCCGCTCAGACCCAGATCCTAGTGGCACTTCAGAAAGTCATTTTTAGACTTCACTGTAACATAACAAATCTGTGCAGCAGCCTGTCATCACACCTCATTTGCTGCAGTGCATTTTTAACTCCCAGAGCTCTTTTACACTGTAGTGATTTTTGCCCTTTATTCTTTTGGTCAAGTTGTCATTAACTGGTTTGGAACAGAAATACTAATTGTATGGTCACAAGCAGTAAGTATTCTCCCTAAAAGCAAAATCGGAAATGAAGCATATTGCTAATTATGGTCCCATTCTCTGAGCATGTACACCAAGGGCAGTGTTAGTGATGTGAGAGAAAATATTGTGAGGGTAAAGGTTCAGGGTGGCCATCTCTTAAAGGTGGCAAATATATACAATTTTGGGGCTGAGAGTCTGTGGTTTGTGCGTCACGTGCCTAGAGTACAGAGAACAGAACGTCTCCTGTGCTTCTCCATCTCTGCCAAGGGGACTCAGTCCTGGAGTGAACCCCTTCTTTCCAAAAGCAGAGTCTCATTTTTAATGCTCTTAACTGCTGCATCCTGGCTCAGACCTGTTGCTTCCAGTTAGCTCCCAAGCAGCCAGGAGCTGGTTGTGTGTCTGGTCAGCGCTGACCTAGATTGGAGATGAACCAGTGGCCTACATATGAAGGGTGACATATTTCAGCGGTCTCCTGAGCCAGCACTCCCCTCACCTTAATGCAGAGTAAGTTGCATGGTTTTGGACAATGTTAAATGGATAGTTACTCATCCCTGCTGTGATCTGTGCCAGGTGAGCCAGGTGATGTTGTTTTTTTTTATATCCAGAGTAACATAACCCTAAGGTTCCGAGTCTGCAGAATAGGTCTTCCTGGGAAAACCTGGGAGCCTTGGGGGTTGCAAAGCCAGATGTGTCCAAGTCCCATCTCTTCTGCACTCGCTGCCAAGGGCTTTGGTTGTTTTTAAACATAGGAAGAAAAGAAATTACAGTCAGCCTGATACATGGGTCAAAATGGTTCACAAGTTTGCTGAGGCACACATGACATAAATCCTGTCTTTACAGTAAAGTAGGATGTCAGGCTTGTTGTGGCATTGAAGACACCTAGCTGAGCCACTGCAGCCTGTCTCCTGGAGCCTCCAGGAAGCCAAACTTGCTAGCTGATGTGAGAAATACTGTTTAAAATAATTCCTCATCATTTTTCTTCTTCCTATTGCTGCAGCCCGGCATTCAGCTTCCCCCACCCCATTAACCCCGTGACGTACCAGCAGATCCTGACCCAGCAGAGAGGCCTGAGCTCAGCCTTTGGACACACTCCTCCCCTGATCCAGCCATCCCCAACCTTCGCCCCACGTCAGCACATGGCGGTCATCTCTGTCAACCCACCGCCTGCGCAGATCAGTAGCAACAGCAACTGCATCTCTGACTCCAGCCAGGTAGGGATGGCTGTCCTGGCTCTCTCTTTGAATAGCACACAGAGAAGTGGGGGCATGTCCTCCATGGGATGAGGCCTTCATGGTGGCTTTGGGATTTCTACCCCATCTCTTTTTACTCATGCTCTTCCTTTACATTGCTTTTTCCTCATCCTGGCAAAGCATTTCTGGACTAGTCATAGCCAAATTTTTCACCCACCTCCCTTCCTTGCACATACATGTACCTACCTATGCAGGAAGCAAAGGCCTTGATTCATCAAAGCATTGCCATTGTATGCACGGTCATCTCAGGCAGCACATCTTCTTGAATACATGTTATGTGCCGTTGAAATCAAGGGAAATTGGCACATGCTGGAGTGTTTTGCCAGATAAGCACCTGAGCACTTTGAACCAAGCTTCATCAGTTCCTTCATCAATCCTTCCTTCCTTTATTCTACTGATGTGAACCATGTTCCACACCTTATTCCTTTCCTCTTTAACAAAGTGCATCTTACCTAAGATGTCTAACCTTTCCACTTATCGTTCCATCTTCTTCAATAGCTTCTCTCTTGGGGTATCCCTGCTTTTGGTTAAGGTTTGCAAAACCAGGGACCAGCTTTTGAAAACTAGGAATGCCATGATGTGTACGAAATCCTGCACGTCAAAGGTGTCCTGGCAGTTACATGTGAGTTCACACAGGCATATGCATGTATGCACAAGCCCTTCACATGCACAGGGCTAGTGAAAATGTCTAGCACATTTTTAATCATTTTTCCTTCACATTTTTCATTCCTTGGAAGTTTGAATTGCAATTGCTTTTCTCCCCAAAAGACTTACTTCACCTTATTTCACACCCATTTCAAATTGCTGTTTTAATTGTATCATACTGAACTATTCAGACTGGTTTATTGTTTTAGTGTTTCTCATGGCTGCTGTGCTGCAAACTCTGTTTGTTATTGAAGGTTATGTGATTGACTGGCTTTGTTGTCTTCTTAGAAACTGGATACCAAAATAATGTGACTGACAGGAGTTATGCATCTGTTTAATAACTTGCAGGATCAATCTTGAGTAATTAGCAAGAGTGTATTTAAAATGTTAAAGTTCCAATTTTATGCACATACAATGGGATGTTTTTTCTCCTGAATTTGTTCTAATTTTTTAAGATCTTAGCAAAATATACACATAGCCTTTCATGCACCCAGCATGTCGAAGCCCTCGCACATAACCAGAGCTCCTCTTTCCCCAGGAATTCATTTTCTCAACAAATCATTTCATCGTATTGAGAAATAAAATCATGGCTTTGGTGGATGTTGCGTAAGGTTTTGAAGGCTTTGACAGGGCCTGGATCTCTCTGAAATGGAGCAGCAGCGGCAAGACCAAGCTGATACTGCCCTTGACTCTTCCCTCTTTTCCATCTCTCTGCCTTGCACAAACCCACATGGGCTAATTTTCATGTGAAACCTGGGCCAGCAGGCCAATACTCTGTTGTCTCCAGCCACTCCTGAGGTTCAGCCTTCACTGATTTTTCGGTTTATTTTTAATGAGGAGTTGGGCTGCAGTCTGTCTCTCATCCAAAACCCTGATGTCATATCTTCTGGTTTTCTTTCCTAGAACAAACAGAGCAGTGAGTCAGCCGTGAGCAGCACAGTCAATCCAGTAATTAACAAGCGCAGCAAGGTCAAGACTGAAGTCGAGGGCTTGCCCCCAGTGTCCCCAACCACACAGGTAACCTTCCTGGTGCGAGAGATGTTGTGGGGCTGAAGCTGTGAGCTGCTGGGTCTTCTTGTCTTTGGGAATGATACTCCTGACACTTTTTGCTGCAGGTGGGAGCAAGGCATCAAAGTCTGCCAGGCAGGTGGGGTGTCTCTTGGAGCATAGAGCCCAGGAAGGTACAGGGCAGAGCTACAGTGACTGAATGAAGCATTCAGTGGGTGCTTGGGACTCAGCTTGTTGTTGCTGTGCTCAGACAGAAGAAAAGGAGAGAGGAAATAATTCAAATGCGATAGTTTAAAAATGATGTCTGAGGTTACTGTGCTGCAAAGCAAGCAGCATTAGTGTCTCTGAGCAAACATAGATTATGAGGGAATCTTGCATGTAGGTAGAAAGCTTGCAAAAAGCGGGACAACCTCTTGATTCAACAAGGAATTGCTCCTAGAAACATCTTTTACACTGGTGGCACAACATCTGACACCAAGAAGGGCCCAAAGGCCTTTGCTTTCTTTCTGGAGCTCTGTGATTGCAAACTGTTTAATGGCTGACAGTATCCATCTGACCGTCCTTTATCACAACTGTAAACTATCAGGAGTGCTCTGGGCACTTCATTTTCATGAAATATTAGGCCATGTTATTGTCAAGTGAATGGAAGAGTTGATGACAAATTTCTCCTTCTGCCCTGGTTCAGGAGCAGGTCTCAGCATGATGCATGGGGACAGCAATGTGTGCAGTCATCAGGGGGTTGGTAAAATTGATGAAGATAGCATATCAGGGAAAGATAAACATGCTGTAGTCAGCACTATTAGGGCAAAGAAGCACCTCTCTGGAGCTTTGAGTTTAGGAGTGCATCTACATGCTGCTGCAAAAACACATGCCCTAAAAAAACAATCTGGCCACCACCCAGGCTAATAGGGCCATATGTTTATTTCTTGCAGCAAATTAAAAAATATTTGAAAGCCATCACCTGCTTTCTCAAAGCATCTATAGCAGAGGAGCTGCTCTCCTCAATGGCTGTCATCCTTTGTTCTGTGCTCTAACATGAAGAGGCGTGTGCCCCACCTGAGGGAGTGCTTGGGTAGCATCAGCCCAGCCCACCCCTGCAGCCTTGCCCCAGAGTTTCATCCACTGGGTCAGATGTGAAATAAGTGCTGAAAGAAGGGGAGGAGTAGTTTAAAGTGGTGCAAGGAAGTTTGATTAGAATACCAAGGTGAAATTAAGCGAAGGATATAGTCAAATAGTTCCTAACAAGAAGTCTGTGAAGTAATACCCCAAGGGAAACGTAGGCTTCATGTCTTGCAGCATTTCAGTATTGACTGGGAAATTACTGGAAAGCACCTTGTAAGAGACAGCCCATTCTTGGCAAGGTTAAAAGACTGAATATAGTGGGTGTCTCCTCTTCAGTTGGTCTAAGCAGTAGCAACTTGTTAAGTTTGGGGATTCCTGTTCTGCAGGAGACTGTGCTGTAAAGTTATGGTCAGTTAATTATTGACTGATACATTTTTTTGCAGAGTATAAAGCTCATCCATTCCCAAAAAAGCATGCACGTGTGTGTTTTGTTTTGGAAATGCTGTACTAGAAACGACTCATGTGAGTTGTGGTTTGGGTGTTTAAAATCCTTGGCCAGACAGTACCTCCCATGACGGCTTGTACTACAAAAAATGCAATCCAGACAAGATTTGTGGAACACAGTGGAGCACCAGGCATGAGAGACCTGAATTAGTGTGCTCTTGTGATACCACAGTAGCTCCAGTACAGATTCAGATTAATGTTGAACTTGACAGAAATGAAACTACGCAATCCTCTTCAATAAATTAAAATTATTTCAATACCATTTTTCCAAAAGAAAGGATAAAAATATTGGCAAAACAAGATTTTTAGCAGAAAATTTCACTTTTCCAGGGACCGCACTTTGCCTGGAGAGAAACTTTTCAACAAAAATAATATTCGAATAATGTTCACAGCTCAAGCAAATAGGAATTGCTGGGGAAAAAAAAATGAATTGCTCTTTGAACTTTCTCAGGCTATTGCTCTGGGCTTTGACACAGTTTGAATCTCCAGAAGTCTTTCTGTAAATCACTACAAGAGCCTCCTTACTTTTTTTTTTTTTAAAAAATTAAGAGCTAATTAAAACAAATCTCTTTTTCTCCATATCTTAACCTGTGAATTGAAAAGTCAGAGCTGGCATGTATGTCATGAGCTATTTAATGAAAATTGTTGAACTTTTGTACAGTACCTCTCACTTCCCAAATCATATAATGTCATTAACTCATGGCAGCCCCTCAGTAGGCGTTGCAAAGGTGTTGGTGGGGAAGGAGATGGCAGCCAGATAGGTCTGTTTGGGCAGGTCAGAAGCAGTTTGAAACAGGTCTAGCTGTGTCTACGCACTTATGGGGCCAACTGGAGCAGCAGATCAAGAGGAACAGCGTCTGATATGGTCAGTCACATCCTGGAGGCAGGATGCTCTGTGGTAAGCAGTAGTAGTAATTGGGAGGAAAAGGAATGAAGGGGGTCAAAATCTGCAGGGTTTTGTAGTGCTAAATTGCTAAGCCAATGTTGGCTGCTGATTGCTTGACAGTAGTGAAAGTGTCTGATGCATGCAGAGCCAACAGTTGTCCTTACCTCTGAATTGTACTAATTACGTTGTATGTTATATTGTGGTGTAGCTGCCCATGCTTTAATCATCAGAGCAGCCATAACAAAAATCTTCAGTGCTTCATTTAGCACTGAGGAGCTGGCTAGAGAGAGAAGCTAAGGAGAGAGCTCACACCCTGTCCAGCAGTGAAGCAACTCATTTATGAGTCCATAGCCCCCAGAGCTCTGCTCTGCAACCCACTCTTCACTGGGTCTTGCTCAAGCTTCCCGAATTTCCCTGTCTCAGAGGAGTGCTTTGAGGGCTCCCCACTTTGTCTTTGTGGAGCGCTCTGCAGGCATAAATCTTTGGATAAGAATTAGGTATAACTTTCTCATCTATTCAGAGATGCAGAAAACAGAAACCTCTCTCCACAACCCACATCAGGTGAGTGTGGTAACCATGAGGCTCTGACTGCTCTGTTGTTTCTTCATGCTCGTATTTCCCCACTGCCCCCTGATTAGAAGTTTTGCTCCAGCAAAGAACACAAAGGTCAAAAGACTTTCCTGGGACTGCCCACTACCTGGCTGGAGCCAGGCACTGCTGAGACCATGGCTTCAGGGTGTTTCGCATCTTGTCATTAACTCTGATCCATTTCTACCAAAACTCTGTTACTCATTATTTCACAGTAATCAAGAATGTTGTGTTGCCACAATGAGCACAGTTTTGTGATCAGTTGATACCTGCCCTATAATCTATGAGTGACGGGAGAATTCAGATGAAAGAAGTTCGCCTTATACAATGCACCGTTGTGTGTTGCAGGAGCATCTGACAGACCTGAAAGAAGATCTAGATAAGGATGAATGTAAACAGGAGCCTGAGGTTATTTATGAGACGAACTGTCACTGGGAAGGGTGCACGAAGGAATATGACACTCAAGAGCAGCTCGTCCATGTGAGTAATGGTTGGGAGGAAACCCCAGTGATAAATTTGGGTTTCTGTGCACTTGTCCTCATTTTTTATCACTAGCTGCTGTACAGCCAGAGCTCACTCTGGGAGCTACTAAAGGTGCAAATCAGAGATACGGTGTGTAAACACTGCCAAAGCAGGTCACTGCTCCCGAGTTTAGCTGCAAGAAGCCTTTCATAGATTATTTGATGTGCTCTCTTCTCAGCTGCTGAGCCTGCAGTTTCCGTCTCCCTCGTGCACAACCGAATGACAGAAGGCTCTGTGCAGGGGACCTGATCAGAAAATGGGGAAAGAGCCTGAGCCCTTCCCTCTTTGCTGGCCGTATTTGCTGAGCCTCCCCATGTACCTACACTAGCTGTGGGTCAGGGATCACCCATACTGTCCTTAGTCCTTGTCTAAGCCATGAAAGTCTTCTATGCTGCTGTGACATGAACTGTGGAGCCATATCACTTAAGGGCTGTTAACCTGCTCAGCTCATCTCTCCCACAAAAATAGAGCACTTCCAGAGTCTGGAGACATGCTCCAGAGTCTCTATCAGGGCACAAAATATAGAAAGTGGGTTGATTTTTTAAAAAATTGGGAAATAGGGCTTCTGTAATCACAGTGATGTCCCCAAACCAGTGTCAAAAGTGCTCTCTGAAGGATTCCCAGACCAAGTCATTAATCAGATTTTCAGTTCTAATTAATTCCAAGAACCTTTTGTGTGCTCTGATTCACCTGAGAATCCACCATTTGGTTTCCTTTGGTTTCTGGGGTCAACAAATCACTCAAACTCTGAGTGAGTGCCTGTAAAATCAGACATGAACTGTGTCTGAGCCCCATCCTGCCACCAGCCCAGCACCCTCCCAGTCCTCATTTTGGGTCTGTGGTGTGAGCCCCATTTGTTTGAAGGCAGCCCAGAGCTACTGGGAATTCACCAGCCCCGGCAATGCTGCTGTTTGCAGAAAAATCTTGGGATGAGCAAATTTTGTGACAGGACCTGCTACCTTCTCCTTTCCCTTCAGCCTTCTGCTCCTTGCCTCAGCCAGGTTCCAAGCCAGCTAGGGGCCACCCATGTACAACTCATGTGTAGCCTTCTTCCTGAGGGCTCGTGTCTGCTCTCATCCTTTTTTATATATCTTCATTTTAGTTATGTTTAGACACCACCAAGTAGGCATTAGTCTCCATTTCCCCAAGCTCAGCACACAAACATTGTCAGCCCAGAGGGACCACATTCTAAATGATAATCTGGGGCATGTGCTCTTCTTCCATCTAAGGCTAGCACCTGCCCACCTCTTGCAGAAGTCACTGGTTCAGTGCACCAAGTCCTTGAGTACAGACAGATTTGGAAATGGTTTTCAGGACCAAATGAGTGATAAGGTGCTTAATGGCTTGCATACTGCATGCCACAGGGCGTTGCTTTTCTGGGGTTAAACCACAGCAGCCCTGTCATATGGGCTGGGCTCATATTTGTTCAGCAGTATTTGTGCGTTTTCCTCTCAGACATAAGAAAAACTCTTTACCCCTGCCCAGAGCAAAGTGCAGGGCAGATCCAGGCAGCTCAGCACAATTTATTTCCAGAGAAAACCCAAAGAAAAATATTTGAAAGAATGTCTAAGATTTTCCTAAATTTGGAAGGTTATAAAAACAGAGGCTTCTGTACTATGGTTACTAGGAACATGGGGTTGCGGATTTGGGATGACCAAAATATACATGAAAATGAAATACAGATGTTATGGGCCAACTTCTGAGAAGGTGGCATCCCACCATGCATGGAAAAACTAGTTTGTCTGCAGAGCAAAATACCTGGGTGTGGAAGGTCCGTTCTCCATATATAGTGTACAATGTGCTTGTAAGAAAAGCAAGTGTCAACAGGGAGCAGCAGGAGTGAGGACGTATTTTTGCAAGCAGCACTGCTTCTCCCAGCCTCAAAGGTCACGCTTAATTTGGGAGAAACCTAAGCAAAGCCTCCAGCCAGGTGGGGGTTTGATGGGGTCTATGGAGCCATAGCTGAAGAGTGGTAAGTTGTGCAACTGCTCCTCCACCGTGTGATGGGAAGCAGATGTTGCCAGTGTGTTAATCAGCCTGAAGAGAGGCTGCAGTCCCCCTCCCATGAATGTGTCTTCCTCTGGCCCAAACAGGACCAAACAGTGAGCTTGTGTACTCCCCAACTGCTAGCATTGCCATGCGTAGTCTTGGTTGCAAGTCGGACTGACTCCCATGCAAACAGAGCCAGGAGATGTATCTTCCCAGTCTGGTCTGGATGTGGTTTAGTATGTCCATGGTCTCTTGGGGAGTTACCAGATTTCCACCGAGGCTAAAATCTCACACCAATGTTATATTATAAAACCAGACGTATAGGCAGCTGAGGTCCAAACCCAGCCTCCCCTCACCCTCCCAGCGTGCAGCTTTGGCTCTCAGTGTTTACCCATGGTGCCTGATGGACCAGCTTACCACCTTGCACCTTGTCCCTGGGTAGACCTGGTGCCCCAAGCAGTAGGTCCCTGTCCCAAGGCTTGCGCCACTGCACATAAAATACTGGGGCTGGATTCGGCTGGGACCATGAAGGTCAGTGATTCTGTTTCAATGTGATTTTGTGTCCTCATGCTGCCTCGCCACCCCAGGAAAGCCTTATCCTAGGCCGCAACATCTGTGCCTGGCCTTGGCCAGGGAGATGAAGGCGGGCACTGGAAAAAAATCTCAGTGCAAAAAAAAACCAAAACAAAACCCAAACCCAAAGTGGTTTATTTTAGGATTTCCTGTCAGAGAACGTCTGCTGAAAACACAGGAGCGAGGACAGACATTATTTTTGGCAGCAAGACCCCATTCAGATAGACAGGGCTGCCACGGGAACAGCGCTGCTGATGGGCTCATCTCCGGCTCTGTTTATTTTCAGCAGGGCTTCATCTGCCCTGGGCTGGGAAAAAGTGGCTCTCATTTTCCTCCCAGGATGGAGGAAGGCAACGTTCTGGGATTGGCTTTTCACCACCCCAGCACAGGATTTCAGGGACGCAAGTAATTAGCAGTAATTGAGGCTGCCGAGCTTTCCTTGGCGCGTAGCTCGCAGATGTTGTCATTTCCTGCTAGCCTCCAGTGCTGGGCAGCAGGTGGATGTCTTAGGGCCAGCATATGGGCTGACGCACAAGCAGGCTTAGAATCACAGAGTCATTCAGGTTGGAAAAGACCTTTAAGATCGTGAGTCTAACTGAAGCTTGTCTCTTCCTCTCCCCCATGGTCCAGCAGCATGCCAGGAAAGGGTCCCAGCTGCATAAATGTGGCACAGAAAGGTTCAGCAAAGATAAAAATGACTCCATCATCCTCTCTAGCAGTGGCATCAGGCAGCCCCAGAGACATCAAGAGGGCTTCTTGTTCCCTGGCACTATGGGTCCCCATTGTTTTTGCAAACTTCCTGCTTATGGCTGCTTTGGACCCAGTGCCCGGCATGCTGGGTGCTGTGCACCTTCTCCTGGAGGACACACCAGACTGCAGAGCTGGCTCCTGTGTCCCTGGTGTTATCTGTGCACCTGGGACCCAGGTGCAGTGCTGGACCACAAGCACTGTGGAGGCTTTCATTGTACCGTGAGTGCTTTGCTGGCAACAGCTTTTCTAGGAGTGACCTACTTCTCCCTTCTCTCTTACCAGCACATCAACAATGATCACATCCATGGGGAGAAGAAGGAGTTTGTCTGCCGCTGGCAGGACTGCACACGGGAGCAGAAGCCCTTCAAGGCTCAGTACATGTTGGTGGTGCACATGCGAAGGCACACCGGAGAGAAGCCACACAAGTGCACGGTGAGCTGGCAGGGACACGTAGTACATCTCAGCTTGGCAAGTGGGCCTTGGACTTTGGTGGTCATAGAAATGTGTGTGCAGACACAAGCACGGCTGCAAGCAGGGCTCTCCCAAGGTACCTGCTAGCACTGTGCTCAGGGCCAGTGCAGCGGTCTGTGTCTGTGATAGCATTATAGCTACTTGCAGGTTACACCATGGGGACAGGACAAGTGGTGAAGGAGGGTGGTCAATATGTTAGTAGGCAAAAATGGGTTCACCTGAGAGATCCAGAGTGACTCAAATCACTTAAGGTGGAAAAGCAGCCAATTTAGTTGTTTATGTCCAAGAAGGAAATCCAGTAACACCATGCTGTGGGGAACCACCTAATCCTAATCATGCCTAACTCAGAATCACACAGTACTGCTGCTGGGGCTGCAAGTTTCCCTCATCAAGTGTTCTCACAAGCCTGTTTCCAGCCTGGAATGCTGGGCCAACATCTCCTGCCTCTGCTTTCTTAGTCCAGAGGTGAGGTCAACCCTTGGGTGCTTAAACCCAAAGAGATGCTCAGTCCCCAGACCTTCTGCATGCAAGAGGTACTGTACCTGGTGTTAAACACTGAGAAGAAGCATGAAGTGCTATTTTGTATCTCAGCCCTGTAGGTACCATTCCTCTAGCACATGGGAGAGCAGGGCTCATCTCCACCTCGACCTCAAGATATTAAAGCGCTTATCTGTCCTCACACATGGAGTCTCCCACCCCACTCCTGCATGACATGGGGAAGCCAAGGATGCCTGATGGGGGACACAGAAGAGAAGCAAGCTGTAGAGTTTAGTGGCTGTGACCAACTGGTTGAAGAGGTGTTCACCATCTCTTTTCATACACGCTTCAGCCCTTTTTCCTTCTAAAGGTCCATCCCTGTCTTTTGATATCCTCTGCTCCCTGCCTTCTCCTCCTGCCAGTTTTTCATGCCTCCTCCACTGTCAGCATTACGCCGTTCCACTCCCCAGAGTCTCAGGGATGAGTCTCTCTTTCTGCTCAGCAGATGTTTGAGCCCTCCTCCCATATCTTCCTCCTCTTCTTCTGCATTAGTCACTTCCAGCCCTGCTCCCTCCCTGGCTCTGCCCCAACTCCTGCTTACAAATATTAGGATGTGTACGATTTGCTTGCTACATGATTTACTTTATCAATCTTCCAGCCTTGTGTTCATTTAATTTAGAATATAAACTCCCTGGGGCAGAAGGCTATGTCCTTTGTTACCAGTCTTCCTTAAACGTATCAAGGGATATTGATCATCGTTGTGCTACAAAGTAAGCAGTGAGATAAAGTCTTGCCTGGCTGTTGCTGGTAGAGGGGCTCGGAAGACAAAAAGCAGCAGGGACTGCATCCTCTTCAGTGTTGTAATGGAGCAGGAAAAAGCACTGCTGCACAATCCTACCTCTTTCAAGCCTCAGCTGTGTCACACTAGAGCAAGGTTGTGTGTGTTTGAGTCTCAAGTCGTCCTCTGCTTCCTGGAGAACTGCAGTCCTTCCACGTGTGCTGTGTTGCAGCAACTCTCCCTGAACTGGAGCACCACCGGGTCTGTCAGTGATTTTTTTCAAAGTGCCATTTGTTTCACACAAGAAGTTTGTGGTGTGCATAAAGCTACAGATGAGCCCAGTTGCAGCCTGGGATTTTGTCAAGGATTATTTCAACAGATGACAGCCAGAACTCCCACTGACATAATCAAATCCACACGTAAGAGTGAGAACGACTGCTTTGAACATTCACGGGGTGCTTTGCTGAGAGGATCTTATTTGAAAATGTGGCCTCTGCACTTTTGCTCTTAATGATTGTGCATTTTTGTGTCAGTATCTAGCAAAACCAGAATGGACGCATAAGTTGCCTCATGCTGAGTTCCCTTTGTTTTCCAGCAAGTGGAATTATGTATTCCAATAACTGTAAGCAACTTGAGTTGTAAAGGACTCTTTGTACAGGGCAAGAGAAGAAAGGGATATACCCTACTACCTCAAAGCTGGGGCATGTTCTGTGGGCTAAATGGGCTAAAGTTGTCTGAAGAAGAGATACTGGATCCAACCCACCCTGACAAAGCTGTGGAAGAAATCAGCTCTTGCAGGATGCTCCTACTGTCATTGAACACAACTGGGTATCTCAAGAAAGTGGAGCAAGTTTGCTTTAAGTCCACCATCCCTATTGTAGACCTTAAAATTAAGCTTAAGTAACCCTACTTCTTTTCCAGCACAACAAAGTTAGATGGGATCAGCCTGTACCCATACGCTTAATGGGTTTCATGGGCTGCATGTCTGCCTTACCCCTTAGCAGTGGAGATGAGTCCTATGCCCATGGAGTACAGACAGGTACTGTTGCTATTGCATGTACCTGCTTTTGACCTCTGCTCCAAAGGGCCAGATCTTTGGACCCATAGAACCACACAGCTGCCCACAGGGTAATCAGACACTTTTCATGACCTGTCCTGCTGTGATGCCAAGACTCAAACATAGCTATGTGAAGTCCTGTCACATCTGGACTGAACTTGCAGACGATTTTGAGTGATCTGACTAAAATGCAGTACCTTGAGGCTTGCATACATTACAACAGAAGAAACTACTTGTTGTTTAAAGTGTGTTTTAAGGTGCTTGCTTAGGAAGTGCAACATGGGCTTTTCAATGCTCCTAGCTGACCAGTGAGTGCAGCATTTAGCTAGAAGAGAACCTTGCATTTCTTAAAACTTCTTCCAGTGTTTGTAAGTTCCCACTTGTTTGGTCAAAAAGTGTTTAGGATGGCTTTCCTGGTTTGAGGTGAAACCGTCCCATGCTGCAGACAGGTGCAGGCAGAAGCCTTCAGCCCAGCCAGAGTGGAGGGTGGCAGGACTTAACATCACCCAAAGCCTCACCATGTCACCTAAGCTGCTCCTTCTCATTGTGTGGGCAACTGGGTTCCTTCCAGTAGGAAGCTTCCTGGCCTGTTCTGTCATCCAAATATCCATTTGTCTTCAAGACTGAGAGTTTTGTTTTTGAAACTGGCAATGTCAGATCACCTGACCACAGCATCCTCCAAGGGTAGATCCAAGCTGTAATTTGGGAAACTTCAAATCTTGCTAGATTTCTGCTTGTGTGTTAGAGAATGGTCTGGCCTTTCTAGTGCTGGTGCTAGTGAGGTTGCAAGGCTGGTCACACTGTCAAGAAGCTGTCAGTTGTCTGGTGGGAGGGAGAGGTCCTCTGTTTCTGAGTGTGTTAGCTGCGGACAGATGGCAGGAGGGGCTAAGAGAGCCCTTGTAGGAGTGGAGGGGTGTTCAACCCTGCTGGATAAAAGAGTCTCTTGTTGAAATGTCAGGTGGGTACCCAACAAGAAGCAGCACCTTAAATATGACTCACTGCTGAAACTCTCAGCCAGCCTAGGGAAGAGAGTTCTCCCAACAAAGTGGATGTTGTTCCCTAAAACACAAGTCCTTTAAAGGGAAGGAAAAAAGGAAGAATGAGAAACAGATGAGAAGGGTTTAAGCAGGGGGAAAGTAGAATTTCTCTGGTTAATTAATCACTCTTCCTATGTTTTTTTTATTTTAGTTTGAGGGTTGCTCCAAAGCCTATTCCCGCCTGGAGAACTTAAAGACACACCTGAGGTCCCACACTGGAGAAAAACCCTATGTCTGTGAACACGAAGGCTGCAATAAAGCCTTTTCCAATGCCTCAGACAGAGCCAAGCACCAGAACAGGACACATTCCAATGAGGTAAGCCTGGGCTCACCACAGCTCAACGGAGGCTAGGGTTTTTTTATTTTGCTGACAATAAACATACACTTTACACGCTGGACTCATGTAAAAAGAAACCTACTGTAATGAGAGGTTTTTCTTATTTTTTAATGAGATTTATTTTGCTGGAGAGCCAGACCACATTAGCTTTATATTTATGAAAGCCATGTTTAAAATCATAAACAGATGTTAAAGTATGCAAACTTTTTAATTGGGTTTGGAAATTAAAACATGAATTTTCCAAATTTATAATTCTTAATAGTGCAAATAGGATTGTACAGTTGTGCATGTGGTGTTTAATATTACTGTGGAACAGACTTGCAGTAGTATAACTGCTACTCTGGATCCTGACGCTCTGGAAATAATACTCCTTCCATCGTTTGATGTACAATGATAGAGCACAATGCAATGCTTTGTTAACCTTGGCTAATTAAGACTTAGTATTAGCAGTTGCGGAGCAGAGGAAATTGCCTTTATTGTAACGCATGTGATGGTCTGTTGCAATCAACCACAGCCGACGATTGAAATTTATATTACCACTAATTAGCTGACAGGGAAAGAAAAAACAACACTCCAAAGTTCTAATAGTGTTTGCAGCCATGAAGAATTCAGTGTGTAGCCTAATTTGCAACAGTTAAATATAGACTATTGGAGAATGGAACACAATTGACAGGGGTGACAGCTTTTTAAAGTGATGCTGTGTCTACAAAGGGCTTGTTGGGAGTATTTCTATATCTGGCATAACAGGAACCAGTGATAACCAAAGCTTTTTAGGTTTCAAAGATTCTGTTAGAGTCAGATTAAGAACTTGAAGTCTAGGATACCATTCCATGCTGTGTGATGCTGAGATGTACCCAATGAATGACCCAGATCCCAGTGTTATTTTAATTGGTTTGGGTATGAACCCAAATGTCAGAATTGTCCTTCACCACTCAGTCACCTCCCCAGAAGGACACAGGTTAAAATTAATCCATATCCACACTGGCACTGGATAGTTTAGGACTAGTTTAAGGCTACACCAACCTTGAGGCCAGGAGGGACCAACACGGTGTGCAACCTCCAGTTCACTCAGCAACCTTCAATCCCAGTGACTGGTGTTCGACTAAACCATCATTTTCTCTCTGTTAATGCATCTTCCCCTGAAAGGTAGGCAGCTGTGATTTAATCTCACACTTCAGGTATTATAAATTGCTTGTATTCCAGCCCTGGATGCTTTCTCTGCCTTTCTCCAGTGTTGGATCCAATGTCCCTCTTATTGTTGCCAACTCCACCTCATAACACTACAGTGTTAAGTCACTCTCCATCTTCTTTCTCATAAGCTAAATAAGTCAATCAAGCCACTGAAGATTCCCATTACTGCAGCATTTTTTCCTGTCGTTAAATCAATTTTACATCTCTCTCCCATCCCTGAGGATTCTCATGTGGATAGATCAAGCCTACTGGTACAACTTTCAGTGCTGGATAGAGACTCACTCTGACCAGTTTCTTCACACTGAAGCAGTACCTGAGCTGGTTTTTGCCCCTAGATCACTTGAGCATTGCTCCCTAGAGCTTTTCCAGGATCTTTCCTAGGCAGGCCAGAGTTTCACTTCTTATTGGGCCACCTCGTGTCCCCATGTCCCTACATGCAGAATTTTGGCTTTGGCTGTATTATTAAATGTCATTTCTTTGATGGAATCAGTTTCCCAAGTGATCCAGATCAGGAACTGCACTAGATTTGGGATGACTTCTCACTTTTTCTGAGCAGAGCTTGGACACAGTTGAAGGTCTGCTTCTTTGTGTTCCCATTGTGCAAGAAGGTGAGGCTGTAGGGGGAGCAGCCAGTTCCTTGTCTACGGTGCACCATGATCTAACATGCTGACACTTGGCACAGGCTGCATCCAGCAAGACATACTAAAGACTCAGGTGACAGATAGAGGTTTCATCCTCAGCTGTTGCTTTCCCTGGAGGATGCCAAAGCCTTCTCAGATGCAGAAACATCATAGCCACTAGTGGAGGATTTGTACAAGACCAGCTGAGCCTTACGACAAGAACTACATGGCACTGCATGATCCTACATTTTGCAATCACGCTCACTGCTGAACTGCTGCTGTTCAACCTTTCTTAATGCAAACAGGCATGCTTCAAGACCTGTGGGAGATCTGTAGGCTGTGTGTAATGGTTCTCTGGGCCATATATTTGACATCCTTTTTTTGAGGAACATACAAAATGATCCTTTGCGACAGATGGCATCCCTCATGGCAAAGCTCACTGCATTGGGCAGCAGTCCCAGGTGAGAGTCCTGCAATCAGCTGTGGCCATGACAAGTGGGATAGCAAACTGCACTGCGACCTTGGCTCTCAAAACCACATGGATGCAAAGCAGGAGTTTGTGGCTGTGGATATTTCTCATTACCCATCAATAACTTTATCGTGGTTCCTAAGTACCTACTACATATTTCCCTCAGCTTGCATTGTTAACATGGGATACACTACAGTTTCAGAGTTAGTCATTCATGAGTCCTCTAAGGGAGAAGTTCCAGGTTCCCTGTATTTGTCTCCATCATTCTGTAGTAGGATGTAGGTGTATGGTCCAACCGTGCTGCAGTTCAAGGCTTGGGATGTATTACCACACTGGCTTTTGTTTGACTGCTGAAATGTCCTATGTGCTGTTTCATTTTAAACTTTCAGTGACTATACGAATCCCTTCAGGGGATACCTTCAAAGTTACTCCTGGGAAAAGGGCTTTCCTCCCATAACCGGTCTCCAGTGCATACACAAAAAACTGGCACAAATTCATAGCCAGCCAAAGACTCAAGAGTGACATTTTCTCCAATTCAAGCTAAACACGGGTAAAATTGCAGAAATTCATTTTTGCTGAGTGCCTCCGGTTCTCCCACCCTAAGAAGTGTCATGTTGTATGTGTATGGGAGTAGGAGGAAGGCATCTGAGATATCCAAATTGTTAACTTCACTAGGGCATACACTGCATTAGATGTTAAAACCTGGGTAACGTGGGATATACGAAGGCATGCCAATAAAACAGCAGTTGTGCTCAGTTCACTTGCAGGAGCTATGGCCTGATGAAGAGGGTGGTAATGTAGGTGGAGTGTCTGCTGTCCAAGCAACAGTGATTGTGTTACCCTAATTACCATAATTGCTATAATGCTAAATGGTTGCATGAGATTCATAAATGAACTATTTTACCTTCTATGCTTTGGTATACCGAGCCTTAAAATATATTTAATATTTACATCAGTGGAGTGTCACAAGGATTTAGTTTGCTCAAGTGATGTGCCAAGATCATTCATGAAGCATGCTACTGAATAAAAAACAGACTTCCAATGTTTTTTGTGTGATGATGTTGGCTTTCTCCAAACAATATATAATCCTTCGTATTTTTACACTTAAGATTCTGGATGAAATTACAAAACAGATAAAAAAAGAGAATAGGAATGGTCATTTAGGGTAGCCTTCAAACAACATCCTTCTTTTTTTTTTCATGGACCTATCCTAGTGCATTGGCAGAAAAATACTTGGAGTAGCTGTGAGGCTGAAAGTGGAACTTGTCATTAATTCAGAGCTTCCAGCGCACCAGAACCAGCTCAAACAACTGCAGCACTAATACACTTTGGAATTGGAAACTCAAAAAAAAAAAAAGTTAAAAGAAGAAGACTATCTGTTCGCTGACTTCTGTTTTCAGAAGCATGGCTTCAGCCTTGTTTTCCTGTGGCAATCAATGATTCATGAATTCGGGACTAGAGTGCTATCGTCTGAAAAAAGCATTGCATGCCTGTGGTTTGTTTTGCACAATAACAGATTTCAAGGTGACAGGTGCTGGAGTTGTATGATAGATTGAGTAGGGTGAATCCAGTCTGGCTTGGTTTCCCTGGAATTCCATCAGCCAGAAGATCTCAGATATTTTCTCAGTGTAGACCCCACCTTAGCAGAGAGAATGTGTTATGCCCAGTCCCCTACATCACCTCCCTCCCATCCATAATCAGGAAACATTCCTGTGGCCACCCAGGCAAACACATACATGGGAAAGTAATCTTAGGAAAATATTTTGTGAATTCTTAGCTGTCTTTCAATCCAGAAACTGAAAACAAGGTGTTTAGCCAACATAAAATGACTGGCCAGGTCTGTGTGGATCAGCAGCAGTCCATATATCACATCTTAGAGATCCCAGTCTTACAGAATCCTGCAGAGCAGATGCTCCACATTTTGCTGCTGCCAGCTGCTATGCTCATTGTATTTGCTTGGCCCATACGCTGGAATATTTGGACTTGTTCTAAATGTAACCCAAGATTTGCTTGTATTGACAGAAACCCTACGTCTGTAAAATCCCTGGCTGCACGAAGCGGTACACAGACCCTAGTTCCCTCAGGAAACACGTCAAGACTGTGCATGGGCCTGATGCCCACGTCACGAAGAAGCAGCGCAATGATGTTCACCCAAGGCCACCTCCACTCAAGGAAAATGGGGACAATGAGGCAAGTGCCAAGCAGAGCAGCAAGGTTTCAGAGGAGAGCCCCGAGGCCAACAGCACAACAAGGAGCATGGAGGATTGCTTACAAGTCAAAACGATAAAGACGGAGAATTCTGTGGTAAGAGCAGTTGCTCTTGGTAGAAATTATGCGGCCCCTAGTTTCTCCAACACGAGGACATGAAGTATTTGCATGCCGTTTACCTCTCTGGGCAGTTTCCCTTCACCTGCCAACACCCTAGAGTTTATGTCCAGAGATGAAGCTTCAAGTCACAGAACAGGCCAGTACATTTTGTGCCTTCCTACCCAGCATCACAAATGCCCACTCTTGTAGTCATGGGGGCTCCGTGATGCCCAGTGTTGAGCTTGGTCTCCCTGTGCTGAGTCAGGAAGACTCAGGAGTGTTGTGGTCAAGTGAGCTTTACCTAACTCACCGTTTTAAACTGAGCAACACTTGAAGCAGAAGTCCTGGCTTAAGCAGTCCCTTTTCTCCTCCTCCCTGTATCTTTCACTGTTTTTCTTTCCAGGCTGCTGCTGCACAGCAGTTTTCCTGGCACAACTTTGTTGTGGGCTGTCTGATGAAGCGAGTGGGGATAAAAGTAGCTGGTTTACTTTTGTTGGGATCTTAAAGCAATTTCAGTTCCATACTCGGAAGAAAGAATCTCTGGGGTTGGCAGGGACCTCTTGTGATTGTCTAATCCAACCTCCCTGCTCCAGCAAGGTCACGTAGTGCAGATTGCTCAAAGTATGGGAGTATTATAGTGTACAGGAACACATGACTCCCTACTGCCACAGAAAATTGTAGTGGGATGATGACGCAGAGAAGTGAAAACAGGAATAAACATCGGAGCAATGCCGTGGCCCACAGAGTACAGGCTTGCAGTCAACTGTCTGTCATGCTTTACAGCCCCATGAGTGGCCATCAGCTTAAGCAAAGACCATTTATCAGCCTTCTGGCCATTACAGCACCTCCTTAGTAGGCAATTACATGGTGCTAATGAGGTGTGTACAGTGATGGGTCCAAACACACTCAAGTCTCTTCCTCCCCATACAGGGAGCCCACCTGCTCCTCAGCACACCACTGCTGGTGGAGGAGATGGATCATTGCGGCACACAAGTCACTTGCCTTTTGATGTTTTTCTTCACCTTCATACCCAAAAGTTCTGGTCTGCTGCACCAGCTTACAGGAGGGCAGCGTATGGTCTGGGTATAGCAGTAAAGACCTTCACCTGCAAAGGAGGGTGTTCCCATTGTCCCCAGACTTCTCACTAGAGCTGAAAGGACTCTGAGCTCTAAAGTACATATTTTGTTGATCTGAATCCAGGCTAAAAGATTATTATTCCTATGAAACAACATGCCCTGAAGCTACAAAGATTTTTCTCAAAAATGTTAAGGGATGTGTTGTTGGACAAATTACTAATAGCAGCATGTTTCAGTTGGGGGAGTTGTGGATTTTCACATCCAAAGTGTCTTTAAATGACTAAAGGAGCAGTTTTACTGTGAGGAGGCTCTGTGTTGGGTTACAAAAACTGAGTGTGAGAACCACTGGACAGAATGACCTCTCTCTAATACTCTTCCTCCATGTGTTTTGTTATTTTTTTCCCTATGAAAACACGGACACAATCACAGCTCCCCACCCTGTTTCTCCTGAAGGTGTGAGGTTGTTTTCCTAGGGCTCTGTGCTCCCGGGGTTGCAGCCAAGCAGTCTTTCTGGCAGCAGGGCCATGGGTTGGATGTCCCCTGTCTGCTCTCCCCATCTAGCACTGCGTACTTCACTTGTGCACATCTAACAGGCAGCATCTGACCTGGCAGGCCCATGTCCAACTCCTGCTTCCTGGTTAAGGTCAGGGTGGTGGGAGGGGTGAGATGTTTCACTGCTTCCCATCACTCCGAGGGCCATTGTTTTGACCCATTTTTGGGTCTTATCCCAGACACATAGAGATGAGTGGGAAGTCTCTCCTAGGGTTTTTTATCTGGGCCCCTAACAGGGGAAGGCAGGGAAGGTGGGGTACAGGAGAGGGGGGGAATATTGGCAATTTGTGTTGTATTCTGCACTCCCCTCTTCCTCCTTTTACTAACATGGTCCTTTCTCTTTCTGCTGTCTTTGTCCTAACAACCTGTTCTTTATTCCCACTTACCCTTCCTTACTCTACCTTCCTAAGGACAGTCGGTACTAAGGTGAGCAAAGAAATCCTTTGTATTAAAATAGCTGTATAAAGCATGGTCTCCTGCAGACCTCCTGTCTCCAGCTAACCCCTGCAGGGTGCAGGCAGAGGCATGCGGAGCAATGGGGAGGGGCAGGGGATATTTGCTTGAGTGCAGAAAGGGGGAGGACACAGTGCCTGAGGATTTCGTTTGACAGCTTTCTCCCAGCATCTCAACTTGCTATTAAATCCTGGGATTGCAATCTCTATCATCCCAATTTAAGGGCAATAAAGCCATCAGAGCCAGTCAGCCCTGCCCATAAGGGCTGCTACAGAGCAAAGTAAAACACTGCATCACCCTGCACTCCCACTTTGGCCTGAGGCAAAGTATGTTGCCTTTTCAGCACTCCCATTTTTGCTGGAGCATGGGCCTGGAGCAGAGAAGCCAAGGCATCCTGTCTGGTAGCAGCAAGTTCAGACCATTTAGTGTCTGCTGCAAATAAACTACTCAATGTGATATGCAATTCCTAATGTAAATGAAATAAATATTTATGGTGCTTATCTCCCTTATCTGCAAGTGGGAGTTTGAAAACAGTGAACCAGGTTTTTATCTGGCTGGGAAGTTTGTCAGCTACCCTAATTATATGTTAGGGTATTTTAAAGACAGAAATACGTTGTGTCTGAAATACTTATTTCTTGATCTTATGTTAGATAAGCTGGTGCTTGCTGCAATATACCTTGCACAACCGGGTAACTTGCTGATTTTCTTCGAGAAGCATCTGTCTTTAATCTTTTGGAACAGCAGCATTTGGATTCTCTCCGTCCTCCAGTTGAACATACCATAGTTTTTCCAGCTGTGGGGTGCTGCCCTGCCCTCCTCCCCCAGGGAAGGTGCCCCTGCCCTCTGGTAGAGCTGAGATCCTGCAGCAGGGTAACAAGAGAGGGGAGAGCCTGGGATAGGGCCCAGCATGTGGAGCCTGCTGGGGATGTTGGGCTCCTAGTTTCTTTCCATCCATGTTTTCACCTGCCCAACTTCCTCTCTTTTCCTTCCCCAAGATGTGTCAGTCCAGTCCTGGTGGCCAGTCGTCGTGCAGCAGTGAACCGTCACCCCTTGGCAGCACCAACAACAATGACAGTGGAGTAGAAATGAACATGCATAGTGGGGGAAGTCTGGGAGATCTGACAGCATTGGATGACAATGCTCCTGTTGTGGACTCAACAGTCTCATCTGGTAATTCGACAGTCAGCCTGCACCTAAGGAAACACATGACGACGATGCAACGACTTGAACAGCTGAAGAAAGAGAAACTCAAGACAGTTAAGGATTCCTGCTCATGGGTGAGCCCAGCTCCACAAGCCAGAAATACCAAGCTGCCTCCCATCTCAGGAAACGGTAAGTCCTGGGCCTGGGTCATGTGCTGTAGGAACCCTCCAGAGTCTGATTCAGGTTTCATAACCAAGAGTCTGCCCTGGAGGAGGATCATTTCTTATTGCCTCTGAGTCAGCCCTTGCTGGATAGAGATGTCAGGTAAAATGCAGAGCTTGGGTGTAAGCACAGCCATCTGGTGATGTGCAACAGAAGCCCAGATGCTGAGTGCTACAGAGCTATGAAGGGAGGCAGAGGTTTTGGTGTCCTTGTTTCTGGGCTGGCCCAGAACGCAGCCACATCTGTCCTAGTGGCAGCCGCAAGACTGTTTGAGTTTGTTCCAGCAGTAACAGTTCCCCTAGGGCCAATGTGCCTCCTGCATTGGAGACGGCTGGAGCACAGCAGCAATCCAGACAAGTCCTCTATCCCTGATCTTGCTCTGACAGGCCTTTCGTCACTTCAAGAGCTCCTGGCTGTTGCCTAAGGCTTCATATGCTAGTTTCCCACTGGCTGGGGATTCCTGATAAAGGCATTTTTGTGATCCCTTCAGTGCTCCTTTAACTTTGCCAGGAAGTCCGAAGGCATAGGGCCTCGGTTATACTAAACCTTGGGGCTTAGTATATTGGAGCTTCTTGGTGTACTCTGGGGAGAGCCTTTGAATGTCAACTTTCGGGCTCTCAGCCTCCTATCCCTGACTGCTGTGCATCTGTCCTAGCGAGCATCTGTGGTTGTAGCTATGTGCTGTCCCTGTGGCTCAGGAACACCAGTACTACATTTTCCTACTGAGAGAAGCCCATGTGGCGGCACTTTCTCAGCAGCTGAGTATCAGTGGGGTACACATTGCAAAGACTCTGCAGCAGAGACTTCTTGTCTTCTCCCCTCAGTCTTCTTGCTCTTTGTATATGGACATAATGCTGGAGAAGCTTTGAATTCACTGGCAGCAAAAGAAATACACTATCATTCCCATAAAATATTTGGGGGTGGCTTTGCATGTCTGTATTTGGCACTAAGAACACTACGAAGTGAAAATTTCTCAGGTAACTGAACCTTTTCCTTCCCTGTAACCTTTCTCTCAGGCTCCATTCTAGAAAATAGTGGTGGTTCTTCTGCTACGCTCCCTAATCCCAGAATAATGGAGCTGTCTGTCAATGAGGTTACGATGCTGAACCAACTCAACGAGCGCCGTGATAGCACAACAAGCACCATCAGCTCTGCCTACACTGTCAGCCGTAGATCATCAGGGATCTCCCCATAC